TGAGAGTTGTAAACTAGTGTTACGTCCCGGATGGTACCTTTGCTGATATCAATATGAAGGTCCGGAATCGCTCTTGAATTGACAATCTTTTAGATCACGCAGTACGTGCGCCCGTCGTATGTCAGGGATCCCAGGGTGTACAGGTATGACACAGTACTTACCCGAAGCTTCCTCCTTAACTTTTACAATAGATTTCTCGTCTCGGATCCTTAGGTAGTAGTCTTGGATCCTTAGGTAGTAGATTCTTCGCTGTGATCTTCTTCACAGGTATATCAATAGGCAGTAACTGATACTTAACTTCGCGGATAACTGGTCGCGGAGTAGACAGGGTAGGTATAGGGTGCGTAGGATCTTACGTAATTGTCTCCCCATGGTGGTCTTTGTCTCCCCATGAGCTGACTAAAGATGCAAAGGCATCAAACACATCATATGCGCACCGTGCGGCTATGTCTCGCACCATCAGATCCAGCGTAATCGAGTATACGTATTTTAAATAATCAAAAGCTCTTAGAAATCTCGGGCTCATGAGAAATGATTAAAGGCGAATATAATTAAATATATAAAATAATTTTCAGAAAAAAAATACACCGACTTCGAATACAAATGAACTTAGAGTTGTAATATAAATGAAACGCGTAGTTTGGAGTTGGTAGGAAATGGGTGGAATTAGGATGGGAACTAGCAGAGTCCAGCACGAGGGGATCGAACCCTGTGACTAGTCGGACTGCTACTGCTCGCGAGGCTACTCGAACTGGGCTTTTATATTGCTCGGTGGTGTCAAAAGAGAAGATAAAGAGAGATTAGTTATGATCTGTTATTGTCTGGAGATTGCGTGATGTAAATAAAGGTCCGTGGAATTAGATAGGGATGTACATAGCAGGATGTTTAGGTTAAGATAAAGGGTAAACTTGAGGATCTAAGAGTAAAGGAATGTGAAACTTATGCTATCTTATTTATAACGCACGCGGGACTGTGTCTTATAACTAATTGTGTCAGAAACGCAATATATGTATATATATATGTATTTAATAATAATAATCCTTAGACAAATAGTCCTTAAGCAACTAGATCAAACGTCGTCGCACGACGTTACACTAGTCTTCTAAGTAGACAGACATTTTCGGTGACATTCAAATTTTACTTCATGCGCTATCGATAGTGGAGCCTAACGTACACTTGTACCGCCCTTAATCACTCATCACCCACACAATTCATTATCACGATAATAACAAATTGCTATGTATATCGTTATCAGCGTATTTAGTAATAATTTTGCATGACCTAAGATAATTTTCCATATGTGGCATAATGTCATAGCCGTAAAAGCGAAATTTTCGTATGTGGCCTTAATTTGCTGGCTAAGAGCTGTAGTTGCATATTTAGTAATTACTTTAGTAAATTAAATAATTAGGAGGACATCGTTAAAAGAATTTTTGAGCAGTATAAATTGTAACAAGACTTGAATATTGTTCTTGGTAAATATTTAATTTCAACTTGTTTCAAATTAATAGGGAGATTTATTTATAATGTGGAAATTCGAAATTTGTAACTAGGGAAATGTAGAAGTTGGTTAATTAGGAAATCAGAAATTCAAAAATCGAAATTTAGTCTAATCAAATATATTAAAATCTGGAAAAGTGATCGTTTAGTACCTAAGGAATTTACTTACCTTTAGTAGCTAGGGACTCGTGAATATTTGGGCACATTGGGTATTTAGTAACTAGAGAGTTTTAGGAGTTGGTAACTTGGGAAATTAGTAGTTCAGAATTCGGAATTTTGAAGTTCAGAACTTGGTCTTTCGTGATATGAATATTTAGAAAAGTGAGAGTTTAACACTTAAGGAATTTTAAGAAACAGGAATTGAAAAATTAGATATTTATAGATTCGGATATTTGGCAATATAACTCTTTAGTGATACGCGAATATTTGGGAATTTTTGGTATTCAGCAACTAGAAACCTTTTGAAGTTAGTAACTTGGGAAAACAAAAATTCAGAAATTGGAATTTACTTCTCATAAAGATATGAAAATTAGGAAAAATGAGGTTTAGTATCTAGGAAACATTGGAAACCTAGAATTAAGAAATTAGAAATTTAGGTATTTGCAAGTTTCCAGATTTGATAACTAGAAAATTTTGGTACTTGACAACTTCGGAAATTAGATATATGAAATTTGGGAATTTAGCGATTTGAAGTTTAAAGAATAATCCTTTTAGAAATGTGAAAACTTGAGATTTAGTAATTTAGAAATTAGAGCTCTAAAAATATTACTAATTTAGAAATTGTAAAATATAATAATTTAACAATTCAAACATTCTGAAATTTAATAATTCAGCAATTTAAAAACTTATAAATTTAATAATTTAGAAATCTAGCACCTTAGAAGTGTCATAATTTATCAACGTAGAACCTTGGAAGATTAATAATTTAACAAATTAATAATTCAGAAATTTAACTTAATATTTTAGTACCTCAGAAATTTAATAATTTACCAATCAACTTAGAAATACAATAATTCAGCAATTTAGTAATTTAGAAATCCAATAATTTAGTGATAATTCTGCTTAATGCACGCTTGTTTAATGCACTATAGAACGCCTACCACTGACATTTATTATTCACGCATGCGCATCTATCCACTCTCACGACCAGCACATCGCATCCATCACATCCAACCAATGCACCTATAACCTACAAAAAAGGAACACGTGCGATTGGTTCTTTAATGCACCGTTCTCCAAATTTTAAAATGACTTTAAATTAGCATATACGGTAAATATAATTTTTAAGAAAACGTAGAACTAACAATAATTGAATCAGCGCCAAATTAAGTTGCATTCTGCAAAACACATTCTGAGGTCCAAAGCAGTGGACGTTCCGAACACCCGCAACGTCTTTCGGGTACGGGGTGGGTGTTCAAGGGTGGCACGTATGGCTGCGCAGGGTCCCCAAGGTGCAGACGATCCCGGTGCTGCCATCAGGCTAACGGAGGGTGGTGAAAAGCGGGAAAGCTACGAGTGTCCACAGTTTACTGCGGCCTCGCAAGCCGTTCGAACCTCAAGCGCTCGCGTCCGGTTCTCTTCACACATTTTTTCCGTCGATGTAAACAGAAACTCCATTCAAAATCCACCCTAGTGTATTATTTCCACCCTTCGTCGGTCATTCACGACTCTCTGGGCTGCCCCGTCCCTCGAATCGATCGCTATAACTTGGTCGACACCGAACATTCGCTGCACGTGTCTCTCCCTGGTCATGTTCCGTGAAATTGAGGATCGTTAACCCACAAACGGCTACAGAATACCCTATCAGCCGATTCAGTGATTAACCGAGGATCAATGATAACACTGATAAGCTGTCCATCAACGATTAAGACTGATGTGAGCGAGGGAGGGTGAAAGATTGCTAGTGAATGTGATGGAAATACTTGGACATAAGAAGTTTATTGTCGATGTTAGGCTAGATCTAAGTACTAAGTAGAAATCTCATGAAGCTTAATGTGATTAGGCTAAGAGATCTAAGCGATGATGAATATTTAGGATGAACAAGTTTAGGATTCCATTAAATTTACAAAGTTTAGTACGAATGTGATTAGTCCAGAAGACCTAAGTTAAGTATGAACATCGGGGTTGTATGGGACTTATGGAGTTCAACATCCAATTAGCCTAATAGGTCTACCTGTCTCTAAGTGAACAAGACTCCAAAGTATGAACCAATTTGACGCTATGGGACTTATGAAGTTCAGAAATGTGATCAGCCTAACACGTCCAAATTTTGAATGAATGGACACCTAAGTATGAACCAGTCCGAGATGGACACCTATGTTCAGTATCAATCAGCAAATCCAAAGAGTAGACATTTAAAACGATAGAGTTCAAGACTCTATGTGACCTATGAACTTCAGTATCAACGTGATCCACCTGGAAGAACTAGTTCTAAAGATTTAGAACGGTCAAGTCTTTTATGGGACTTCTGAAGTTATCTATGTGATTAGCCTAAGAGATCCGAATGAATAAGTTAGACTAATGAATAAGTATGAGACGGGCTTATGAAGTTCAGTATCAATGAGATTAACCTAGAAAGCCCGAATACTAGTTCTAAACATTCAGAACGAACAAATTGTCCCTATGTGACCTATGAAGTTTATCAACATGCCTAGAAGACCTAAATAGGTTCTGAAATTTTAATATGAAGAAATCTGGACCTCTATGAGGCTTATCAAAGGGGATTTCATTATCAGTCAGATTTATCTAAGAGATTCAACGGTTGGTCCTATCAGATACTTCAGTTAGAAGAGAAATGGACGCTCGGGTTTCCCTACGGAGAAGAAGAGTGAAGGTACCTTGGTATTTGAGGATTAATAGTTTCGTGGATGAAGATGTTAGGTAAACTCGGGACATCTTTGGACGCTGTGATGCTTCAGGGTGACATTGCAAGTGGTCATCGTTTATCTTACATGTTATTACTCGCAGAGATTTCGTAATAGTCAAGGTTACTCTAAACGTGTTCAACTTGAACGTTTGGTTATGAACGTGTATAATTTGACTGAAACATGTTTAATTATGCACGCGATTAACTTGATTTAAACGTGCTTAATTACCGTTGCTGGAAACGCGGTAACAAAACGAAGTGAAACTATGAAATCAAACTCACCGACCATAAACGTTAACTATGGTCTTCTGGAAATGAATAGACAATTAAATCGTGTATCCTGATGACCGCGTAATTTCATCTCCAAAATTTGACATTTCTCCATGAATATGTGAGCTGTCGAAATCCAAATAGCATCATTCACTACAATTTTTGAAGAATCGAGCAAGTCTAATGAAAAACAGTTGCAATGGTCATTCTTATGATAATTAGTTAATCAAATCACGAGGTGACAACTGAAGTGTCTGAACGATCAATTGTTTGAAGAATTTCGAAGATCGATGAAGTGTGAATATGTGGAGAGCAGAAGAAACAGTGCTGAAAAGTTGATTACAAATCTAAAGACAGAATCATAATGGCGATGATGAGGGTTTTATTCCGGATATGGTAATGGAAAGACATATCCGTTCGGGAACCATCGCACCTGTGGAACCTTGAGGTAAATTGTTCACCTTTGCATACGAGCACCAAGCATTATTCGATTCTCGTTGAATATTGCATTCCCTTCGGCATAGTTGACCAGTTTGAATGCTTTCGTTACCGGAATTCGTGGGTTGAAGCGGTTGGACTTCATAAATGAACAATATCTGCGGGCTAACTGAAATCTAGGGATTTTTCGAATGTATTTCATCCACACTGAAGAGGGTAAAACTTTCGAGAAATATTCGTTTCATCTGAGTTCGTGTCAGATTATTCAACTTGAACATTTTATCATATTTTTCGTTGGTCATCATAAATCCCTAGATCGTTCTACTTGCATATTTCAATGTCTCTATTACATTATTACATTACAACATTATTGGAGAACTAGATTATTAGATTATTGCTACTGCATTACAAAATTGCTAGATTACTGGATTATCAGACTACAAAATTAAATTACTATGTTATTAGGCAACTGTATTACAAGAGTACTAGACTACTAAATGGCCAGATGGCTAGATTAATAGATTACCACATTACTAGATTACTGGATTACTGGATTACTAAATTACTAGATTACTAGATTACTAGATTACTAGATTACTGGATTACTGGATTACTGCACCGCTTGATTACTAAATTACTAGATTACTATATTACTATATTACTATATTACTATATTACTATATTACTATATTACTATATTACTGTACTACTATACTACTATACTACTATACTACTATACTACTATATTACTATACTACTACACTACTATACTATTATACTACTATACTATTATATTACTATACTACTATACTACTACACTACTATACTACTATACTACTAGATTACTATATTACTATATTACTGTATTACTACATTACTCGATTACTATATCACTAGATCCCTAAATATAAATCTAGATTTTCATATCCCTATATTTCTGCGTCCCCACGTTTCTATATTTCTAGATCCCTATATCCCTATATCTTTATTCTTTCAGATTGCTGTAACCCTAGACTTCTTTTTCTCCATGTCCCGTGATCTTTGGTATATCCAGATCACTATGTCTCTAGATTTTTACATTTCTAGCTATGTCCCCAGATATTTATACCTTTGTATGTCTAGATCGCAATATCTTCAAATCTGCATATCCCTAGACATTCATATCTCGAAATTTCTGTACCCATAAATCTATGTAATACATCCATATTTCTATGTTTACAAATCTCTATATGGTTCCCTAGGTCCGTATATGTCTATATCCCTAGATCAGTATAGAGATCCTGAACATTTTTCTATATAATAGAAATTCACATAACTCCGTGGAAACGTGGGATTTTAGTATCTGAATAAATTTCGATATTTCAGATTTTGCAAATTTTAGGATTTTAACCAATTATGGAAATTGAAAATTTAGGAATATATGAGTTTCAAATATGACGCATGCCGTTGCGTGAATATCTCAGGTTCTTAGAAGGTTGTCTCGATTTATAGCCGGTATTTCCCGAACGAATGAACTTCTGGTACTGCAGCTGAACCATACGCGGAACGCAGTTCTCGGTACTAATGGGACAGCTTTTATGGTGCAGTAATTCAATAAGGTGGAACGCGTATCAGAGAAATTCTTCGGAGAAAAAGAACGGGATCCGCGAATATATATAGGATGGTTGACAAATATTACTTGCATGGGAAATATGGATTTACATTATTGCTTATTCATGATTCATAAGGTATCTACTATTCCGTTTCATAGATATATTCGCTGAATAATGCATCGAGTACTATTACAATTTTTAGGTTAACCTAATTTATTTAGATTAAGGTTTGTCAGCTGTTCAATAACCGCGGGTTATATCGCCGTGAAAACCCCATAAGTAATACTAATAAAATATAACAATAAGAATATTTCGTAATAAAATATTACATTTAGGCAAATTGTGTGACAGAAAAATTGCTTATTTGAATTCTTATTATATTTCTATTAAATTGCAATAATTAACATTTATTCATTTATTTTATTGGTCACATGTTCAAATACTTAACAGACTTAATGAAAAATTTAAAGGAATTTTACCACATTTTAGGGATGCAATTAAATATTTACTAAAGAATTCTTTTTAAATGGAATTTAATAATTTAATATTTTTGTTAGACCGTTGTCTGAGTTTTTATTATTTTTAGCTAGGCATGAGAATAATCCATACACAAATATTAGTTAGTCTAATTTTAAGTGACCCACGTTTCACCTTTAAATCATACGAGCGTGCTACAATTTAATTTTAAATTGTATCAGTGTCCCATGTTTCAATTTTAAATTTTGCGAGTGATCCCAGCTTCAGTTTTAAATTGTACAAGTGGCCCGCATTATGAATGACCTACGTCTCAATTTTAAATCGCATGAGTGATACACGTCTCAATTTTAAATTGTACGATTGAGCCTCAGTCTTAAATCTTACAAGTGACCCACGTTTTCATTTTAAAGTTTATGAGTGATCCATAAATCGACTTTATATTGCACACATATCCCTTGTTTTAGTTTCAAATTAACAGAGTGTTAATTCTAAATTTTGCGAGTGACTCATGCTGAAATACTGCCTTACTTAAGTGACCCACGTTTCAATACCAAATTTTATGATTGTATCACCTTATAATTCCAAATTAAAATAATGATCTAGGTTCCAATATTAGGTAACAATGATGACCCACGCGTCGATTCTAAATTGCGAGTGAAATTGCATGAACGGCCCATGTTTCCATTTTAAATTACATCAGTGATACCTCGTTTCAGTTCTAAATTGTATGAATGACCCACAAGCGAATAACATATGTCTCAATTTTAAATTATAAAAATGGTTCTCATTCCAATTTTAAATTGTGTGAGTGAACCATGTATCGATTCAAATCATATTAGTTACGACTAAGTTGAAAATTTTTAGTGACCCACGTTTAAATTTTAAATCTTGCAGGTAATACAAGATTCAATATTAAATCATATAAATGACCCTGGTTTCAATGTTGAAGTGAATGAGTGACCCATACCACAAATTTAAGTTCCACGTTTCCATTTTAAATCTCACGAATGATTCACGCATCAATTTCAATCTTTACCAGTAGCCCACGTTCTAATTCCAAATCTCGAGGGTGACCCATGCCCAAATTATTTAAGTGACCCACGTTTCAACGCTAAATTTTCTAATAGAATCATCGCACAATCCTAAATTAAAATAACACTTTAGATTCCAGTATTAAGTAATAAAGATGACCCACGCTTCGATTTTAAATTGTGAATGACGCGCACACTAATTCCAAACCTCACACGTGACCCATGTCCCAACAATATCGCATCGATAATTTACTTCAAAGTTAAATCGCGTAAATGACACAATTTTACGTTAAATCGTTTGCACGATCCGCGCTCCAATGCAAAATTTTCTGAGCCATTTACGCCTTAATGTCAAATTACTTACATGACCCATGTCATAAAATTGCACCACGTTTCTTCGTAGGAAGTTATCTGTGAAACATTATAATAATATTTGATCGAAATGAAAATGTAAATTAATGTTAAGTGAATAGATAGTGTAGATCAGCCTTAATGGTGATCTACTCGCCATTTTTTTATGCGAAATCAATAAATAGTTCTACTATACTTACCAAATTTTCCTCGCTTACCTGCGTTTTAGTTCGAAATTAAATCAGAAATAATCTTTTCTTGTTTGAAACACTATGGTCCTTTGGTGATCTACGCGGTATACATTTTAATCCTCAACTCTTTCAGATATCATTTAAGTAGATGGATAATAACGCATTTGCATAATGTAGATATTATTACGGTACACTTTTGCAGTATAATTACTAAAAGGTTTGTGCCCGCGAAAAAAATAAATAAATAAACTGTCACGAAGTTCATAAACAACTTCGTAAATACATCACCATGTGTAATATATAGCAGATATAACTTTTGTCCTGCATTTGCAAATTTAAAATAAAATAAATGTCGCATACGTAGTGTCCTAAACTTTTACTGCCATGCTTTATTAACATATTCTGTTCGTAAAAAAAGAATGGTATATTAACATAGAGTTTCAAACATATTATTAAAATTTTGTAACAAAAGTACGAAATGACAGCGAACTGCTATATTACCCGATATTGCGCACAAGGTGATCCAGATTTGTCCGTAAAATTTTATTAACATATTCTATTCTTAAATGAAATGATGACTTAAAAATGAAAAATGAATGTTCAAATAACATGAAAAGACCAACATGAAATTTTAACATTTTATTGAAAGGGCATAACAATAATATGGAATGACAACGAACTACTTTGTTTGGTATCACATTCATTGTAATCTAGTTTTGCTCATATAACTTTACTAACATGTTCCACAAGAAAAAATCAGAAAAAATATTTATGTGCACATTGTCTCTTGAGTACAGTATTAAAGTTATCGAAAAAATGTGAAAGTCGACAATTATTCGTATGCAGTATTGACGGAGAAAATCGTCCATGTTGCATATTTCATACATTTTATAATCTTTCGACAAAACATTTCAAAGTCTACGTTTTTATATTTTTTGTATTATTTTTATTTATATACCAGGCAGGTAAAGTTCTACGTACACAACTGGGACTGTATACTTCATTAAAAAATAAAGAAGTCCAAAGTTATTTTGTACTTCTGTTTTAACTTTTGCTTATTTCAGTGTATGGAACACGTTGGTAAAGTTTAGCAGTAAAAAACTAGGACACTCGGTATATTACAGTTTATGCTCATTTTGTCACAATTTTGGTCTTATTCATATGTCAATAATAATTAATTAAATATTTTCAACGATGTCCTACCAAATTTTTGTACAACCAAAAATCGATATATACAGGGTGGCTCACCACATTTTGCCATCTAGATTTACGTCATTATTATTACTCATGGCAAACAATGTTTCAGATGAAGTTGAATGGTTTTGAGAGGAGCATGTGCTGGTGGTATATTTTTTTTGTAGGTGGACG